AGAGAATGCAGCTTTAACACATGAAGCATCGGCTTCACTCTTCAGAACCAGAGGTTGCTGCCCGATTAAAACAAAACAGAAACATATTGCTGCTGGAGTTGTGTGTCAGACATTCACGCCCTGAGGCCGCTGACAGAATATCCAGGTCATGGAGAGGAGACATCCCCACATAGCAGCATATAATAGTGTCACAGTGGTTTTCTGTTTACAGCTGTGTTTCCGTGACGCACACACATCTGCCCTCACCCTCTCTGACTGTGAACAATTCATGAGTTCCTGTGATATACAGCTAATCAAACACTCGGGGCCACAGCGGGTTTGTGCAGCACATCTGCCGTTCCCGCTGCGCTGAGAGAATTCCCGAGTGCTGGAAAACAATAATGCCTCAGCTGCAGATCTGAGGAGGAGGAAAAAAGTCAATTACTGTACATTTCAACCGTTCAAATTGCTAAACGCTCGACTGAATGAGCTCATGGTGAATGGTCCTTACTGGAAGTAATGGGAAAATGGGAAATTCATGAATTTCAATTGATTGCTTTGATGGATTAGATCAACTTGAACCCAAACGTTTTTATGACTAAAGAGGCAATTTCACCCACTTAAACTGCACAGGTGCCTTTATGAAATCTACCAATAATTATAAAACCAGGTGCTGGGTGCTGGGTGCTGTGTGCATAAACATGTTATAGTGATTATGAAGACCATTCTTTTTACTCTCATGAGCACCCTTTTAGAAAATTCATATTACATTTTGTAGCATCAGTCATCAAGTAATAAATAGTCTGTTAGCCTTTGTTTGCAGAATCATTTCTACATGCAGTAGATGTATTACTCATTTGACCAACAGTCAGGTGTCAAAACACTTTGAAGAGACTTTTAACTAATGATAACTTTACAGTCAGTTAAACAACACAAATGTTCAAGTCTTCTTCAATACAGCATGATGTTCATTTAGTACATTATGGTCCATTTAGAGTCAAACAGACCATAAAGCAGGGGATGCTTTAGGGCGGGGCTACACGGTGATTGACATGTCTCTACCAGAGACGTATACGGCGTCACTACGTCACTCCTCCTCAGTCCTAATATGGTCACTTCCTGTTCACTGGCTGCAAAAAAACAAGATGGCAACAGCCAAAACATCTGCATTAACAGCTAGATGCATGAAGAAAAACAGATTTTGCAGCTGCAAACCCAGCTTTCTTGATCAATATATCATGTTTTTTTTGTTATTTATCGCTTCACTCAACTACATTTACCATCTACAATGATTTAACTTCCATATTAAAAAGGTGGAGGATTTTCCTGGTTAGAATTGAAAGAAAAGGATATGAGAAAAAGGTGATTAACTTTAATTAAAGTCTGACGGGACATAAACTCATGATCTCCTGCATGAACATCAGATGTGTCATCCATTCACCTCCCCAAACTCCATACTTCAACTTTCCACCTTGCTTTCATGAACGTACGCTGGCACTGGATGTAAAATCATTCCTAATATCCTAATTGCTAGGATGCTTTCTGTAATTTGGCTGAACGGACTCTTTATCTTAAATCATCACGTTGCATTAACCTCACACTGACAGCAGTTATTTTGCAACTAAGATGCTTTGCTGCACTCAAGACAATTAAGTCTTCAATGCCAATTCTGAAAAAAGCACAAACACAGGGAAAAAAGAAACCCACAGAAGGAAATAGTTTCCCTGAGTTCAGCAGTGAGGGACTGTTGAGTCGGCGTGAAGCGTTTCTGCTCAAGCACATTAGCCACATCAGTCAGCATCTGAGCGCTCAGCAGCCTGTATAATCCACCGCCACCCACCTCAAACACGATACAGTCAATACAGCTGATTGAGGGGTCAAAAGGAGCATTCAGCAGGGATTACAGGGAGCATGGGAAAGAAGAGGGGGGGCTCAACAAAAGTCATCTGTGGCTGAGGATGATAGACCAAAAACAAAAAAAAAGTGAGCGTTATAGTATTGCAAATCAATTTCACGCACACACACTGAGCAAAATGCATGCTTCATTTTCTTCATCATCAGCTTTGGCTTCACTGCTGCCACTACATGTTAGCCAGCGAGCTCCATCACTCCGTCGGCGCCGACGGTTTCTCTGGAGCCGACCGGCGACTATAAGAGGAAGACAAAGTCTCCTCGTCTCTGTGGCGCACACTCGCTGTTACAGTTAATGCCAGACTGTGCTCTTTTATTTTAATAAATAGTTTGATATCTCGGGAAATACATTTATTTGCTTTCTTGCTGTAGTACTAGATTTGAAGCCAGGACACAGTTAGCTTAACTTAGCATAAAGACTGAAAGCATGGGGAAACAGCTGGCCTGGCTCGGCCCGAACAAGTCGCAAAATCCACCTACTACCACCTGTAAAACTCACTGATTAACGTCTTTGTTTAATCCATATAAAAAACTAAGTTTAGGAATGACATGTTGTGGTTTTAGGGGCTTGTTTAGGATTATGTATGTGAATTATTTTAGCTTTATTGCAGGAAGTGAGCAAAGAAGATTGATACCTCTCCCACATTTAGGCTACCGGTTTGTGCGCTAAATATGTAGCTGGTTAGCTTAGATTAGCTTAAATACTGAAAAGGAGGAGGAAACCGCTAGCCTGGCTCGGTCCATAAAAGTAACGAAATCCGCCAACTAGCACCTCTAAAGTTTAAAAAAATAAATACAAAAACAATAAGTTGTGGTCCAAAAGTTCCGTCACCTTTAGCCACAGCCAAGCTAACAGCTTAGCTTCCTGTTGACTTTAAGCTAATCACCTGCTGGCTCTCATAAACAAACTAATTAACACATTATATATATATATATATATATCACCTATATCTAAAAACGCACATAAACCCTGTTGTCCTTAACACTTCAGTTGTACAAATCAAACAAACAAGATGTGACGTGTTCTGTATGGATCAAATAAAAGAGATATAATGTGTTAAGTGAGCGTTAGAGGAGCAGATGTTTTTTAAACTTTAGGTAGAGTCAAGCTAGCCGTTTCCCCCATTTTTCCAGTCTTTAAGCTAAGCTAAGCTATGCAGCCTGTGTGCTGTGTTGAATGACACTAAAACACAGGTTTATTGACGTAAACAGGCTCTCATCTTCAGTCCGCTAAGCTTTTTCAAATAGCGCCTGAGTGATATATCTGCAAGATTTAAGCTTATCACAAATAAATCAGTATCTGCGTATGTTGGCAGATAAGTTGCAATAGGTCTGCATTTTAAGGACAGAAGATAATTTCAAAACAGTGTCAACTTTATGCAAAACTAACATATATAGATTATCTTGTTTATACTTCTCTTCTGTACATGTCATTTTTTGTCACTTAATGTCCATGAAAATCAGAGAAATAGAAATAAAAATAAAATAACAAATATGGGCCGATATAACATTACAGTATCACAAATCTAGTATCAGTTGTGCTCTATTTGATAACAATAAGTAGAAAATATTCTTAATAATATCTTTTAGGTAAATTGGCATCACAGTCTGTAACTCAAATGACGTCAGCTATCTGTGTATGATACTTTAAATAAAATGTACACATCACAAACATCTGAACACAGTCACATAAATCATCCCTTTTTGCAGTCAAATATCATGTCGTTTTTTAAATTTAAATAAATCATTGTTTTTTATAATAACAATAATTCATAATAATTTAAAGGCACAGTCTTTTGGGAAGTATCAGAAATGTTTCTTTAGATTCAGCACATTTTTTAAATTTGAATTCATTAATTTTATATTTTATTTGTGAATGAGCATTGGTGATACTGAACCACTGACTATTTTCTGACTATGCTGCTTTGAATCAACCTGAAAGTTCAAACTAAAAAGGTATTTTTTCATCATAAAAACAATACCAGCGAAACTCTTGAAGATAAACATGATAAAATAAATGCAGGTCTTACCTGAGGCTTTCAAACGGACGTGTTGTTGTTATTTTCTTTCTGTCGGGATTCGAGCTGCTTCAGTGCGACAGCTCCGTCTCAACATCCAGCATCCTCTCCGGTGCTCTCCTCCTCACTGCCAGCCTCCTCAACACACACACTGGAGTAAAAGCTCTGCTCCTCCTCCTCCCTCTCTCTCTCTCCCTCTCCCTCCCTCTCTCTCCGTTTAACTAAATCCATCCACTCTCATCTCATCAGCAGAAGACAAAATGGTGATGCCAGTCTTGCTGGCAAAGTGAACTTTAGGAAGAAAAAAAAAAAAAGCTTAAATGTCATTCACTGAGCTGTACAAATTGTACTCTTCTAGTGGTGGAAAATAGAAGAGAACATGTACTCAAGTACTCTACTTGAGGTCCAGTTTGTAGCATTTCAGGCGATCTATATGCAGAAATAGAGTATAATATATACAGCTATGTCTTCTTTTGTGTATAATCACCTAAAGCTAAGAGTTTTTGTGTTTTTGTTATATTAAAATGAGCCCTCAGTCTTTAGTCTCTTCTCCTTCTGCCCCGACCCCTAGGTTGGGAACCGCTGGACTAATATAACTTTTATATAGTATATAAAAGTAATTAAAATAGCTCCACCTGGAGCAGCTACAACACTAACATTGATGCCTCAGTATTAATAACAATATTCAAAACAATAAATCAGACACCGGGGACATTATTCAGCAGAGTGAGTACTTTTACTTTTAATATTAATACTCTGCAATATAAAAACTTCATATTTCCTACTTCGTATGTACAATAATGTGAACCCACATTCAGTCCGATTATACTGTATTTTAGTTTTGTTGTTTACAGTTTACTTATTTATTATACCTTTACTGTTTATTTTACTTATTCATTTATTATACTCCATTCTCTTGTTGCATTATCCACTTTGCTGCTGTAATACTGCACATTTCCCCATTATATGACTAATAAAGGATCATCTTTTATCTTACTTTGATACTTTAAGCATATTTAGCTAATAATACTTGATATGTCTTTTTATTTAGTTGTATTTGAATGCAGTTCCTTTTCTTGTTCTGGAGCAGTTTTACATTTTGACTTCAGTAAACGATCTCAATTCTCCACCAATCAAAAGCCTCACTTCCTTTTCCTGTGTGACACATTGAATCCACTGCTGCCTCTCTGTTTACACGATGTGCTACAAAAGGAGCTCGTATTCATGCACCATGTATGAGAATACGTTCTAATAGATCTATTTTTGGTCCCGTTTGCCCTGAAGCTAAACAGCTGCACTTATTATGTGCAATACAATGCAAATCCAATAGGCCTGCATGTCCTGTGCAATTAGAGACCATAATGATTACGTAATTCTATTATTCAGCAAACGTTCGGCCAAGAGTTAACCTTAAGCCATTTTATATTCTAGAGCGGTCACCGGAGCAACCGAGCCGCTTCCGTCACACATGTTCTACGCTGACACGTGAAGTCTTCATGTCAAGGTAATAAAAACGAGGGTCTGTGGAGCCACTTTGATTTATTGAACTGTGCTGAGTTTGTCCCAGAGGACCACTTCCTGTCCTCCAAAGCTCCAGCTGAAATGATCGGCTGCCAGTCCTCCGGGTTGTCCAGCAGTGGCTGTTGTTGCCCTCTTGTGGCTCCTCCATTGTAATGTCTGAACCCTTCCCTCCCTTCTGTGGCTGCTCTAATTACGCCTCATTGAACACTTAACCAGCCCAAACATTTCGCACAACATTGTTAATTCAGCCTTGAAAATGTGCCAAAACAAGCTCTTGGTAAGCAAAGCGATGTGAGGAGAGAGCCAGCTCCCCGCAACAGAACTGGATTTAAGTTCTATTCATTAAAAAAATCAAGATTCAGAATTACATTGAGACTTCAGAGCGGCCTTCCCTCTGTCTGAAAGTCTGGTTGAGTTGATTGACACAGGTGCTACGGTACATTAGGCCCAAAAGACAGGAAGTGATGCTGTATAACAAAATAAAAGAATATTAAAAGAGTTTGAATGA